TTCGACAGTTGACTAAGACTGAATGAAATGCACAAGGTGTGAACGTTTGCTCCTCGAAAAGCCTTTTTACTTTTGTGTGGTTTTTGTTTTTCGTCACTTGAAAATTACTTTGGACTCGGAACAACCAATGTTAAAGGAAAAACGGATCATTCCGTCAGTCTGAGGTGGAATAAAGAGTTTTGAACATTTCCAAAGAGGCGAGTATTTTTTTGATTGTTCATTCGATTTATTTGTGAGTTGATTTCGCCTTCTTTCGCCGGGCTGAATTAAAACCCACTTTTTTTAAAATTAGTAAATACTTTTTCACATGCCCAGATTTATTCCCTCTGTAGTCAAAGAACCATTTTGTGCGCCGTAAAACTTTCTCGGAAATACCGGTAGAAGGCCAGTAAACTTACTCTAGAAGAAAAGAATCATTTTTCTGTTGCTCAAATACTATAAGTAGTCAGAGTTTTCTTCACTTTTAATTACATAGTTTTGTTTTCCACTGCACCGTGAAAGTTTCTGTTCTTTATAAGAAATAACTTTCTGTACGCAAATTTTCCACTTCTCTCGCTGTGAAGTAGGAGACAACTGCCGGCGGTGACTTCAAAACAATTGAATTGACTCTGCCCGTAACACTGAATTGCTGGAGCTGGATTTGTCTGAAGCGAGCAAAACAAATACCCTTATGTGCAGTTTTCTGAATTTTGTAACGATTGGCTGAGTTTAATTTGCTTGAATGAAGACCCTCACATGGACCAGTTATTCACTGAGTTATTAAAGCGAGGAGAAGAGCTACATGGTGAATCATAGTTTAGCTGCGAAGCTCACGGCGACTGATCTTTTGCTTTTAAGATCTTTAGGTAGGTTGTTTTCGTACAAAAAATTCATTTCTTCATTGACAGCAAGAAGTTTTTGCAATAACGTAATTTTAACTTTGTTTGAAGGAAATCCTACTTACGTGTAGGTTTTTGACAGATGTTATGCATTTTCAACTTGACAACACAAAGCATAATTTATATTTATCTCTTAGTACGCGAAACGATCAAGTTTAAAAATAAACTATAGTTGCTTTAAAACCGATTATTGGGAAGATTTTACTAAATAAAGATTGACCTTTTTTCTGCCCGCATATCAACGCAATAACTTCTACATTGAGGATTTTGTTTATATTTTAGTTATCTGCGAAACTACGAGTGTCCGATCGAGCGAGGGTTTTAAAATATCAGCTCGAGTGCGACAAGTTCAGTGCCTTCAAACACATTGTGGGCAAGCGTTAATTTTTTTGGGCAAATCACTGTCCAAAGATATGTTGTTTTTGTGTCCACAGTGGAGCTCCGGACCTTATATATCCAGGAACTTCCTTATATCAACACATTTTGTGAATGCATCTTGAAAAAAATCGGACCTACGCATGCACATTTCCAGTACAACGCAAGGAAATTGATGTCGTTAAAGTCCGTTTTACTATGAGATATTCTTCGAGAAAGTTAAGTAAAGATAAGGTTATAACCACAGCTTGCAACTTTTGAAGACAAATTGCCTGTTCTTTCCAGGTTATGAGTGGAAACATCTTATTTTTAGGCAATAAAATATTTGAAATCCCGCCATTTTTTCAAACCCGGCCAGGGGATCTGGGCAAAAAAGTTCACGCGTGCTCATTACGTTTTTCCGCCCTGAAGGCACAAACGGCCCTCTTTCAGCGGGAGAGAAGGCTTGGGCCCGTTCCTGACAGGCCGATTAGCGCTAATTTAAGCGCTAATCCAGGATTGAAAAACTTTGTTCCACTTTTTGTATTTACCTTCCTATGCATTGCTTAGAGTAACATTCTGTGTTATCATCACTGAATATCGAAATAAAGACACCACAGCTATTTTTTAACCTTGCGTGACATGTTTTTAGACAAGAAAACCTTGGTTAAAATCTGGCTTAAGCCTGGGTTAATCTTAACCATCTTTCGAGAAAACGGGCCCTGGATGATATGGCCAACCGTCAGTAGCCGCCTAACAGGAATGTTTTCGTATATGTGAACAGTGCAGATTCTGATCAGGGATTTAACCTGAGATCGGGCCCAATTTTAGCGGTTCTCATACATTCTCTCTAACGGCTACCGCTAAAATTGTCTGTTTTCGTTTTGCCTTGCCCACCTGAATGTTATTACAAAGCGCGAAACGAAAATTGAACCTGATCTCAGGTTATCAGGGATTTTACTGTATTTTCAATGCCCGGATTAAGTCATACGGGAAGATCTTGCTTCTAAAATTTGAACTGCGACTTAAATGATCGTTGACTGAAAACACCTGGCCGCCTTAAATGCCCTTCCCTGAATAGTGCTGAGCTTCAGTTTTCAGGAACAGAGTCGGCGTACCGCGTTTTTTATTTCTTTCCACGGGTCCAGTGACAAAAGGCAGCACTCGTTGGAGGCTGCGTTTGACCTCGAATGTGGCCAACATGGGATGGCTTCCTTGGTTACGCGTGCGCATTTGTGATAAAGTTGGACAGTTCAACGGTGGATCAGAACATTATGAAGCCTCTTTAAGACTGACATTTAATTTGAATTAACAGCTAATACGTATTAACGTTTGTAACAGGTAGTCATGTCAGTGAAGCGAATTTTATTTCTTGATCTTTTCATTATTATTACAATGAATTTTTGTAGTTTCTTTCGCTATCAGATTATAACTCGTGGGGGTCAGGACAATGTAATAAAAAAAATTGTTTATAGCTAACGTGAAGCAAATATTTGTTCGCCGCGTTAGCAGTAACTTCATACGATGAGACAAAATTTCCATATTCAGGTGGAATTGATTCGTTAGCGGGTCCTTGATCTCCAATGAACCGTGATTAAAGTGTAAAGTATCTTCCTTGTTTTCCAATTTCCCATTGCCTTTAATCTCCCGAGGAAGGCCTCATCCAGTCAGAACAATTAGTCAAGTGATATGAATTTTCACGGTGGCCGCAGTGAAATATCTCAGAATTTCTAATTCAAAATTGTTGTTAAAAATAAACCAACACCTGCTACTCAACAAGGGAAACTGATACGATAATTCAGTCCCTTTTAGGAACGACAGTGAGTTAAAAGTGGCTCATGCTTTTTTCCTGTCGGCTTATGGTATTGATACACCCCTGCCCAAAATTATTTCCTTAAAAGGAGATGTGCCACGGGATTTATCAAACTTCAAACAGTAAGAAGTGCCACCAAACTGAGTGAAACATATAAATAACTACTTTAAACATTAAATGAAGGTATAAATAATACATCAAATATAACTGAGTCACGGATGGACAAAGCTTGAAGAAGATTGAAATTGAATGCAATTGTGGTTTTTGAAACCTTGCTAGCCCAACAAGTTTTCTAAGTTCATTTTAATTTGTTGCTTGTAACATTTGATATAAGCTTGATGCTTGGGAGACATATTATTTTGTTTGACACGAGGCTAAGATATTGCCATTCACAAGTAATTTCTCAAGTTCCATATAGCGAATCAGCCTGTCGCGTAATTGGCATTATTAACAAAATGAACTAGGCAGCTAAGACGCTGGAGGGGGGGGCTTTGAGGGGTACTCCCTTATATGAGCCAAAAACGTATGTGCCGCCAAAAGGGTATAGGTTTTGCGCTGTTTTGGTCTGAAAACGGGTATAGATTTTGCCCATTTTGGTCGGGAAGCGCGTATGGTTTACGAAGGAACTACGGTTGTGTATCAGTTTGTTAGTCGTTTCAATTCAAATGAATAAAAAAGAAAGTGTAATATGCGAATTCGAAATGGTATTGAAGAGATCGTTTTGTGGCGGTTTTAATCTCAGCAATGATGACATAATTTCTGTTTTATGTAAACATGTAATGTTGCGTTTTGTGACCCTCTTTCAGGGTATGGATTTTAGAGACCAGGTCTGAAAACGGGTGTGGAAAATGACATTTTTTTTTTCTGAAATAGGGTCAGGATTTGAACGGGCGGCATACACCCACCAAGAATTCCCAGCAGTACCCCCGGGACGGTGACATAGCCCCTTTAAGTCAAGAGGTCCACTTTTGAGGACCATCAAACGCATAACCGGGTAAAGGATTTTGTACTCTTCGGGTAGTATATACAATTTCCTTACAATTATCCCAGATCACGAAAAAAAAAATTTCCTAACATAATGACAGACGTATTATTCTAAAAATTGCTCTTCCATAATTAGTTTATGCTTCCCTAAATAACCCCAGCATGGTTTGAAATTTAACCGCCTTACTTTGTTTATTGGTTAAGAAGCCTTTCCCCTCGTTCAATATCTGTAAAACCAGAAAGTTTTCCGCTACTATCGGCTGGCAAGCAAACACCATAAACTTCAAACAAGGAAAAAGGTTTGAGGAAGTCCAATCGATTCCGCCACTGGCCAAACGGCTGATTTGGAAATCTCAAAATGGAATCATGGTTTTGGATTCTTGGTTGGATTCTATCTATCCTGACAATTGCTGGAAATGGATTCATCATTTTCCTTGTGTGCAATAAAAGGCAGCTCCGCACCAAAACTAACGCCTTCATCGTCTCGCTTGCAGTGGCGGATTTCAGTGTTGGAGCGAGTGTCGTTCCCTTCTTCTTCGTTTGTGATATGGAAGGAAGCTGCCGCGATTGGCCTGCACCGGTTCCATTGTGTACATATGTCATAAGATGGCTTTTTGGATACGCGTCTGTGATTAATTTGTGCGGTTTAGTACTTGAACGCTACATCGCCGTCGTCAAACCCTTTAAATATCTGACTGTTATGACCAACTGCCGAGTTATTCAAATGATCATCTTTTCATGGGCAATCCCTTTAGTTTTTGTCATCGTTCTGCTATTCATGGTTATGTATAACGTTTCAATTTCTATGTTTATAAATCTGTTTACACTTTTGGTGGAGTTTGTTTCATGTTCTGTTATAACTTTCTGCTTCGTCGCCATGTTACGTGTTGTCTATAAGCAAGACCGAGTGCCAACTAGCTTAGGAAAAGTGAGTCGTTTTAGCCAACATCGCGACAAGTCTGCTATTGTAATGATGACAATTGTTGTAGCTTTGTTTCTTATTTGCTATAGCCTTTATCTGCGCTGTAGTTTTGCAGGACTTCTAAACTTACCGTGTGATGATTTGAGTTATAAAATACCTCTGTTGATTTTAAACTCCGCCATTAATCCTTGGGCGTATGCTCTTTTCAAGAGGGACATAAGGACAATGGTTAAAAGACTGATCTGTAGAGAAACTTCCAGGAACAATAACAGTGTAATGCCTATTATTTTAGCCAATCGTTCTGCCGTAGGAACTCAAGTTGGCCTGACTTAGTAAAATACTTCCGCCTTGCTCTTATGAAGCTAACAGGATTTGAAATGGCTTTACAAATAACAAGTGAGCGTCGTCTTTTTTAGAAAAGAGCGAATGGAATTCGAAAGTACGGGCAAAACTTTAACCCACTAAATGATGTACGTAGACGGTGATGAGAAGGGGATATCACGAAGGAACTAGCCCGTTAGAGCAGCTGGTTGTGCACATAGGTAGCTGGACCTTGTAGATTTTAGTATTTTCGTATGAAGAGCGGGTTTGTGGATATGTTTTTACACTAATTTTTCGGAAAAGACAGAACGCTTGAAGATTATATCGAAGTTATCGTTTAGAGAGAAGAAGCGTTATCGTAATTTTCTAGTGGGAATAAATTCTTATCATTGTTAATTAATATTGGAAAAACTTGGTCTTGTGAGGTTTGCATATCAGTGAACCTCGGCTGTCTTATTCCCCTGGTTCCCAGGCCTTTGAGTCACGTAGTTGAGCAGCCTTATAGAACTCTACAAAGGCCTGGTTAACAGCTCGGCAGAAGCAAAACAACTGCTGATTCCTCTTAAAGAAACTTTCAGGGACGTTAAATCTGCAGCTTCTGTTTAACCTGGGCTACAAATCAGTAACAAGCTTATGCAGCTATGCTAAATTCTACATTGCTGTAAAGAAGCGTTGAAAGAAAATATTGAACTTTTAGTCAGCTGTGTTAATTGACACGAATATATAACTGTCACGACTTTTTATTACCTTTGTCTTAGTTCCGCCATTTTAATTTTATCTGAGCATGATATATTTTTTCATGTGTATATATAAGTCTATTTCTTATATATCCCGTAACGGCTAACTTTGGAATAAAACTACGAAATTAAAGTGATCGCAGATATAACCACGGATAGGGAATTGTCTTCCATTTTTTAAAAAAAAATCATTAACAATTTATGAGGAGAAAAAGAAAATCCACGTCCGCGAATGAGTTTGAAAGTCACATGAACTAAATGATCACAATTATAGTCATAACTATAACAAAATTCTCAAAAATGGCTTGACCACCTGCTACTTATGACGTCATATTTCGTAACCATGGTAACTGATCATCACTAAGCTTATCTCAAAATGCACGCAAGGGATAAACGAACAGCTGCTGTAAACGTCGGGTGCTTATGTTTGATCTTCTAGGGAAAACTTAGAAAAACCTCAGAGGGGGGAGGCATACACCCATCATGTAGGTCCGAGGGTTAAAATTAATAAAAAGGTTTTATGATATGCGGGCGTCATAATTTCACTTAGACTAGTTTATCTGAAGACGGAGATTTGTTATTCTTCTTGCCCCAGTTGGTTAAAACGTGGATAAGGCTATCCATCGGATAATTCTTTATCCTCTGGATAGCGCAATCGGTTTTCTTAATACCTATCCACTGTATGGTGATTTATCTGACACCAAAAATATGCGGATGACGATATCCACTGGATCAATCTCTACCCAGGGGATAGTGCAATTGGTTTTCCTATTACTTATCCTCTGGGTAGCGATTTATCCGACGGATAGCACTATCCAACGTTTGAACAACTGCTCCCTAGTAGATAGCGCTATGGCCATCTTTTGAACAGTCAACCGGGACAAGTTTAGAAGCAGCACGAATTTCATTTTCCATAATTACGAAGTCCAATGGACGAACTTTTCGGTTTTTTGTTTGCTTGTTTGTTTCTTTTCCTTGCTTTTTTTCGATCTTCAAGTCTCCCGGCATTAGTCATCAGAATTAACAATAGTTGAATCATGACAAAATGAGAGAGAGTGGCTTGTTGCGTTTGATAACAGGTCGGAGCTTCAAGTCTCCACGAATTTGCCTTTCGTTGAGTTAACTGAAGACAAGTTCATTTAAAAGTAAAATAGAACGAAGCTGAAAACGACCCAGCTAATTGTTCTAAATGCTTTTTGCGTTTTGTCACTTTACTGGCCTCAATTGCCCCTAAATCCCATCTAATGGCGACACAAGCCATAAAGGGACGGGAATTTCCACGCTTTGAATAAAAGTTTAATATTTACTGTTGTCATTCAACAAAGTTTTTATCGCTCAATTAATGTCACTTATTGATTTCACAACAGGTGAATCAAGAAAAAATGAAACAGAGCGGCTAATTTGCATTTAATAACAGGATCCTGAAGACTCCAAAAAATTGTTTTTCGTTGAGTTAAGCGTGAGTTCCTTTTAAACAGACCCTTCTAACTGGTCTATTATTAAATAAATGCTTTTGCTGTCCTACAGTCAACTTAGCAATGTATCATAAATTGACATATATATCAAATGGCATATATTATGTTCTAAAGATAAGGCGTAAACCTTACCAGATGTTTATAACATATCATTACCTTTCTTTCCGATCGAGGAGCTTATAAAGCTTCCAGTTAAGGTTATGTTCCACGATCATGACATGGTAACTTTGAATTTGAATTTTTGGATGAAGAATCGGCGTTAACCTGGCGTTTACAGATTTGTTGATCCCAGTTACTATTAGTCGCACCTCCTGCCTTTAACCAGAAATAGCAGAAACTGTGTTTTTTTCCATCAGCTCCAAGCTGAACGTAAGCTGAAGTTGTCCTGTTCTCTTCAATGGAAACTTGGTTCACGATTCTTGGTTGGACACTATCCATTGTGGCGGCGGCTGGAAATGGCTCCATTATTTTTCTTGTTTGCAGCAAACGACGGCTTCTCACTAAAACCAACGCTTTTATCATTTCTCTTGCAGTAGCGGATCTCGGTGTAGGGGCTAGCGTTTTCCCTTCAGAGTTTTTCTGCGAAATCGTTAAAACTAGCCACAATTCGTCTCCAAGATGTAAGAAAATCAATCCGCTAATACGATGGCTGTTCGGCTACGCATCTGTGACAAGCTTGTGCAGTTTAGTTCTGGATCGTTACGTGGCGATTGTTAAGCCTTTAAAGTATCTAAATTTTATGAGCCGAGGTCGTGTTATCCAAATGATTTTTGTTTCCTGGGCAATCCCCGTGGGATTTGTCATAACTTCATTTTTCTTACCTGCTCCAGTGAAGTGGACTTTTGTTGACATATTTACCATCTTTTGGGTGTTTTTTTCATGCTGTTTTCTAATATTCTGCTTTTCCTCTATGATACTTGTCGTATATAAACATGATAGATCGTCAGCCACCTTAGCAAAACAGTTACGCTTCAACCACAGCGGTTTGACAGTCAGCAGTCAGGACAGATCAGCAGTAACAATGATGGCGATTGTAATAGTCGTGTTTCTCGTCTGCTATGGAATATATTTGCGCTGCGGTTTAGTAGCACTTCTTTATCATCCCCGTTGTAATGATAGACTCTATAAAATACCCATGTTAGTCCTGAATTCTGCCATCAACCCTTGGGTCTATGCATTCTTCAAGAGGGACATAAAGAAGGAGATGATTAAGAAATTGATTTGCAGAAAAAAATAGGGAGAAACTGCAAAATCAATAACTTTTATTTTAAAAATGCAAGATTTTTGTTAATACTTTGCGTTTACAGTTGTTTAAGTTTAGAAATCAAACAATGTTAAATCCTCCATTAAAGTCCCTGTAAGCCAGTAGGCACAGAGTTAATGCCAGCCAGACAAAAGATATATAGATTTAGCCAGGGATAAAAGCGAAGCTCCCATTATTAAATTTATATTTTAAATCAAACAATAAACTTGTAATCCACAAAATGAATGGCTTTGAAAGTTAAAAGTAAAGTCTTAAAATTAATACGAAATGAGACAGGAAGCCAATGCAGCTGATGGGGCACTGGGGTAAATTATGGCAAAATTTGCCCTACATAACGACAAGTCTGCAGGCGGCTGCGTTTTGAACTCTCTGCAATTTGTCAATATGTCACTTAGGCACACCATATAACAGACTATTACTGTAGTATATTCGAATACTAACAAAAGATTGGATAGGAGTCGCAGCTGCATCCATTGAAAGGTATTTTCTTATGCGTGTAAAGTTGCGCAAGTAATAGAAAGCAGCACTGCATATTTTGGTAATGTGTGCGGCCATAGTAAGTTTATCATCGAACCACGCACCCAAATTCCGCACAACAGACATTTTGCTTACATCGCAATCCCCTACCCTGATAGTGTTAACAGCAGCCTTTTTCAATAGATGTCGTGATGCTGTTACAACAAATTCGGTTTTGTCGTCATTAAGCATTAGTTTGTCCGAGGTCATCCACAGCTTAACGTCCCAGATACAGGTTTCCATTGATCTAATTGCCTCATCTTGACTAAAAGCACAGCTTGGGTTAAACGATAAATAAAGTTGGGAGTCATCTGCATAACAATGAACTTTTGGAAGGTGACGACCGACAATGTCAAAGATTTTGCTTGAATATATGTTAAACAATAGGGGACTTAAGTATGATCCCTGGGGAACGCCATAACGAAGATTAAATACATTTGAAAGCGCTCGTTGAAGCGAGGTATTCGTTGTGTTCTTCCAGATAGATAAGAGCAGAACTACGAAAGAGCAGCTCCATTCAGACCCTGCTTTGATCTTAAACGTGTTAGCAAAATACTAGGGTCCACAGTATCGAAGGCGACGCTCAAGTCTAACAGAACGAGGAGAGTCACATGCTACTTGTTCAAATTTGTCAGAATGTCATTGTGAACTTTCACCAATGAAACCTTTTTCCGTACTATGAAGTTTCCTGTATGCAGACTGAAACACTGGATACAGATTGTTCTTAGCCAAGTGCGACTGAGTCTGATCCGCAACAGCACTCTCCGTGAACTTGGAAATATAGGATAGATTACTAACAGGACGTAGATTCTTAAAAATTGGACGAGTCAGATCCACACTTCTTCAATAAAGGTGTTGCTATTGCTTCTTTCTATACTTCAGGGAAATAACCAGAGTGCAACGATAAATTAATAATTAACGTAATTACAGGCAAAAGTTCAACCATACACTCAACCAATAGCCTTTTTAAATAAGTGCTTGAGCAACGTTTTTTGAAAAGAGTGAATGGAAAGTAAGGGTAAAATTTTAACCCAGCCAAAAAAAATGATGTACCGTGGTCGGTGATGAACAAGGGGATTTCACGAAGGAACTTAAGGCCGTTAAAGCAGCTGGTTATGCACATAGGTAGCTGGACCTTGTTGATTTTAGTATTTTCGTATGAAGAGCGGGTTTGCGCATATGTCTTTATACGGTACCATTATTTTCAGGAAAAGACAGAAGACTTGAATATTACATATCGAAGTTATCAGTTAGAAAAAAAAACGTCATCTTTATTTTTAGTGGGAACAAATTTTTATGACTAGTTGTTAATTAATATTCATGATAAATGTTGCAAAACATTCTTGTTATGTTTGCATGAACTTCGGCTGTCATATCCAGCGCGCTGTCTATCCTCAACATGCCAATAACTTAAGCGATCACATAAGTTTCGCTTATTCATGGTGTCAACAGTTTCAGGGGAAAGAAAGACGTTGTCAATCAGATAAACTGCAGGCACTAGAGTACTGCTTTCCTTTCCTTTCTCCCACTCCCGTTTCACTACGTTTACATTACTATCCATCTGAGCCCTAACGACGTTCATTTTATTTCCGGCGCTGGAACCTATACGCAGCAAACTACACTAGACTAAACAGAAAGGCGAAGCCTTCTTTAATTTAAATCACCCATGCTAGGACACTCATTGTTACACTGATCAGCCCCCTATAAGGAGGGTCGCATACTCAGTTTTGAGTATAACTAAGAGGTAAACTATCACTCAGAAACCATTTTTAATCAGCAACGTCAGTAAGGTTATTATGACGCTTTGATTTACCTGTAGGTGTATTTCATGCACCTGCTCCAAGTGCCTAGTCAGTTTTTAAAGGTCTCATGACCCGGAATAAAGTGATGCAAGCTTCTGACCACTATTTAACACTGCGCCTCGTGCAACTCTTACGCCTCTTTCGTACTCTCCAAACTTCCCGCGTGCTCAATATCTCGACATACGCACAGCTGCAGCATGAACTAATTGTTTTATAACATTATCAAAGCGATCAATGCGGCAGTTAACTGAAAATTTTATTATTGTAGGGCGCGCTCAAAGCAGTACGCGTCAATGTTTATACGTGAATATATTTTTTTCCTCACAGTTAAGCTTATGTTTTTATCCTGAAACTGAGAGAAAGTGTACTCTAAAATGATTGTAAAATCCATATTTAGGTGCCGGAAAACTATTAATTTACCGAAAAATTGTTATTGAGAGAAAACAACTTTGCAAAGAATGAGCTCACGCCATAGCCCGCACACCTCGCGGAGATGACAACAACAACACTCACCTCTTTTCCTTACTATCGGTTAACAAATTCAAACGTTTCCTCTTAAATTTCCTTACAAAACACATCGTAAACGCTTCATTGTCTATTGCTGAGTTATGGATGCACTCAGGAGACTCAGGATTGCTAAGCTCACAACAACTCGAGGAATTAAGAATAGTTTATTGACGTCATCAGCGAGCAGCTCAATAGGAATATGAAGCACGCTCGCGCTATTGAATTTGATTAGGCGAATTTTCTAGGTATGTTATAACAACGAGTAAAAAATAACCGCACTAGAAAGTAAGCACTGAAATAGAACAAAAGGAAGTACTCAGACAAACCGCATTTCATTGGCCTAGACCTCTTTCAAGAACGTCAACTTTGAGAATATAATAAATTCGGCTAAATTGGCTTGGTAGGCGATTTCTATTGCATATTATTTAATCATTAATTTGGCGTTGAGTTAGGGTCATAACTAAAATTTCCAGAATTTCGTTGCAAATTAGATGTGACGAAAGCTGACAACCATCACGGAACAATTAAAATGCAAAGTGAAAAAGAACTTTTTGGATAGGTTTTAACTGTGACAGTCTCAACAGTCTTCTGTGTACGCAAGAAGGAATTAAAAGTTTCTTTTCTTTAAATAATGACACAGCAGATGTTGAATATTCAGAAGATTGCTCTGCCATTAACAATTAACTTTATGCTATATCCTTACGTATAAATTAAGACCACCACGGTATGAAATTAAACTGCTATTTATTGGTTTAGAGGCAACCAACTACCGAACAACTGACCAACCAGGAAACTTTCCATGACTGTTATGTTTTTTTAGTATATGTCGCCGGTGTTTTCGACCAGAAAATAATTTGAATTTCGCAAAACAAGAAATAGTTCGATCTATCAGATTATCAAGAAGGCTATTTTCAAATAACGAAAATGGAATCATTGGATTCTTGGTTGGATTCTGTCTATCCTGACGATAGCTGGAAATGGATTCATCATCTTCCTTGTCTGCAATGAGAGGCAGCTCCTCACTAAAACCAACGCCTTCATTGTGTCGCTTGCCGTGGCGGATTTCTTTGTTGGAGTGAGCGTCGTTCCTTCCTCTTTCATTTGCAATATTACAGGAGGTTGTGGTTGGTCTGCAGCGGGTCCTAAATTGACAAGAGTCATCCGATTTCTGTTTGGTTTCGCATCTGCGTTAAACTTGTGCAGTTTAGTACTGGATCGATACATTGCTGTTGTCAAACCTTTCAAATATCTAACTTTCATGACCAGCTGTCGCGTCATTCAATTTATTTTCTTCTCGTGGACAATTCCCTTAGGATTCGCAACCATCCTGCCTTTTTTGGTTTTTCCAATTTTGCGGTCTTATACAAACTTGTTCCGGATGAGCTTGGAGATTTTTTCATGTTGTGTCGTAACATTCTGCACTTTCTCCATGGTTCGTATTACACTCATACATGATCAATCATCAGCCATCTTGGCAAAACAGTTACGTTTTAACCACAGTGGTTTGACATTCAACACTCACGACAAATCAGCGGTTAAAATGATGGCAATTGTTGTAGCTTTGTTTCTTACTTGCTATGGAATTTATCTACGCTGTGATTTTGTATTATTATTTTTTCCCCAAGCTTCGTGTAACGATGTCAGATATATTATGCATCAGTCAATTCCCCCTGCGCCCCGCCCCCCCGGGCTAACCCCCGGGAATTAGCCTTTTTTTTCTCATGGATGGCGAATACCCGGGGGCGGGAGCACTTAAGCTGTCAAATGCCCGGCGGTGGGGACGAAAGTAGAGGGCGAATGCCCCGCCCCCGGGATCGTTTTAACGCCAGTTTTCATTTTCGCACGCTGCAATAGATCGCTTCTAACTTTAAATTTTTTGGTTCAAAAACGAAAGCCAGTGGACTTCTCCTCCTGGGTAACTCCATGCAAACGGCCATGACTTTCTTAATATTCATCGTTCAAAAGCCAACGGTAGTAAAAACCGATATACTATCCGTAAAAAGGTCTTCCAAATTGGTATCTTTTATAGTAATGATAAGAAACACTTGAAAAAAGAATTTTTTACTTCTAAACGAGGAAGAACTAATATAAGTTTCAATACCAAAGAAAACAACGGACTATTCCTCCTGCATAATTCCATGCAACCGACGGTCTCTTTCTTTATATCATATTCGTTTCAAAAACAACGATAGTAAGAAGTAATATACCCCCTTAAAAAGGCCTTTCAAATCTTTGACCTTTGTATAATAAAAACTTGAAAAACATTTTGTCTTTACTTGTAAACAAGGAACAACTTCTAATTTACCCGTCACCGCACGCCAAGAAAGCAACGGACTAGCCCTCCTGGATTATTTACATGCAAACGGTCGCAAATAAGTTCTACTTTAATTACGGTCACCAAACGTAAAACGGGAGTCCTACGTTTTTTAATAGTCAGAGAAAACAAACATCAGCCTCCGTGAAATCTTCCCTTTAAAAGACCGCATACTGTGTACTTAGTGGTTCCCCAGCCTCTCTCTTGGTTAGTTAATAGGGAGCATAAGCAAAGACCTTTTTTGAGCGACTCACCTCAACCGGAAGTGGAATTGTTGCATTGTTGGTCAGTTGTTTTGCCCAAAAGTTTAGTGAGATCGTCTCTATCAGAGTTCAGCCACTCGGGCAAACAATTTTGGTAGCGTAAAGGCATATAGAAGGGAAAAGATAACACTTCCGGTTGACTTGCGTGGCATTAAAACGGCTTTACTTAAGCTCACTTATACTATCCATCTATGTCTTTTTGTCTCTCCTTTGGCGAGAAACTCTGGCTTTTTCCGCGCCTTTTCTCCTGTTTTCCGCTACTTGATGGAGATGTTCAAGCCACAGCTTAACTTCTTCTGGAGTTAGAAGACATTTCTTAGCCAGGTTTTGGATATCGTGATCCGAAAAATTTTCGTTCTTCTTGTTGTAGTCTTGAAGAATCTGACTAGGAGGCTGGGATCGTATTGCTTTGCCTTGAGAATAAAGATTAATGTAAGTTGTTAGATCTGTAACGTAATGTCCAGAACACTCGTCTCCACAGTTTTCGCAACCAGGTCCCTTTCTTGTTTCATCGGCGACAGGGTAGGGAAACAGCGAGAAAGAGGGTCCGCCAGGAAACCATTTTGTTGAATAAAGCGATTTTTATTTAGTATACCTAGCTTCTTGCATTCGGGACACACAAAGGGTATAGGTTTTCTTTTTCCATGTCTTCTGCCATTTCCTCATTAATTCCCACGCAACTGCCATGGAACCAACTGCCACACTGATCACAAGCAATCATAAACCTAGATTTAAGGCGAAAGATTTCAATTTACTTATCCTAAACTACTGGTCATCAAAGTCTTAGTACTATTCAGTATATCAACTAACCTTCCTTTCTCTTCAGGTCCATTGCACAAACAGAATACTCTGGCAGAGGCTGGGTCCGCACTAGACCCTTGTGTTTCACCTCTACTAGATTGAGACGCTGTGAAAAAAAAAAAAAACTTAACTTAGCCCACTAGTGTTGAGTCTGGTGGTAATCAACTGATAAATATCATGTGTAAAGCATAATATAGCTTACAGAAAACCTGGCAATTCTATGAAAAAATTTTCTTTTCACTGGAGTGAAAGACCCCTTACCTTTTAAGCACAGTGGATGTGGGCACCCATTCCTGCGACAGCACTTCAGCATAAAGGCATAATTTGGCGGCAGGCTGTCGTCCATATGATTTTCTCTAACTTGCCAGATTTCAGTAAAGTAATTATACAAGGTGGGGTTCTTCTGTCTTAGATCTTGTTTTTCTTTCTTACTTCCTTTAAGAAATACAAGCAGCTGCTGTCTCCTTTTGAGAAACACGTGATCCTCCACTCCTCGTGAGAGGTTGATTTTTGTCTTCATGCAAGGGGTACCGTCCACTCTTTCTATATACTGATCAACAGCCGCAGACATATTAGCCTTTAATTTTTCCTTATCAATCCCTCCGTTTTCACTGAATGGAGAACCACATAGCGTTGACGGAATAAATGTATTGCTGTGGCCTTTACTAAGACATCCGTTTTGCAACTCGACTCGATTAAGATAACTGTCACCACTGCATCTAGTAGTAACCAATGTGATCTTTGTTGGTTTAACAACGTGCCGCTCCGTCCACAAAAATTGCACTTCATGATGAACAGGCCCTTCGTCAGCCCCACCATCCACTCTCACGCATTCTATTTCTTTAAAAAACAGCTCGTCATTGAGAAAGACTGATGTCGTGCATTCGAGCCTCTCGACTTTCCCTATGTCAGCAGCATGCTGAGAAGGACTTTTTTCATGCAAACCTGATGCTTTGACTATACCAACACAAACTTCAGCTGAGGTTGACGTTTTTGAGAAGTTGTAGCTTGTCACTTGAAGCTGCGCTGAATACTTGTTCATGAAGTCAGTCCGCGTGGTTGCAGTCGGTCTTACAGACAATGTCGGAAGGCTCTTGTGTGTGTACGTGGAGTCTAATCGGAATCCTGCCTGATCATCTCGATTGAGTAGCATTATATGTTTCCCATCTTTCTGCAGTTGATCTAGGAGTTTGTACATAGACCGGCTCCACTTATAATCAGGATTGTACTTGATTGAAAAACTCTTTCTAGCTCTCTGGTATTTCACATTTGCTGCTCCTTTGTAACGTTTACTTGATTGCCGCCTTTTGTGTCTACAAACACAAAGCTGTACAACTGTCCCGTAGCTGAATTGTCTACCATAATGCTCTTTTAGTTTTCCTTGAATTTTGCTGAATGTTACTCTTTTTGATTTCTTCTGATCGCCAGAAAATGTGTAAACTCCTGTTCTTCGCCAACTGTCTGCTCCGACATCACTTTCCTGTACAAACCTTTCAATAACATCGCCTATATCAGGGTAAGTGATAAGTATGCTCTTAGTAGATTGTGACACTTTCTTTCTTAAGAACCTTTGCCCTTCAATTTCCTTCTTCGCTCTTTTACGAAACTTTTCATCGATCTGTTTGAGTTTAAGGCGTAATTGGTCCCTTGGTGCTTCAGAAAGCGCTTCTACATTATTATACTCTTCGTCACTGGAATTACTAGCTGAATCTGTAATTCTAGTCATATTGGCTTCTTTTTGCCACAAATGTTCAAGGTGAGCAATTCGAGAGTGTTCCGTCAATCTTTGCTCCTCTTCTGTTAATCCAAGGTTTGGTAATTGTGAAGCAAAGTCCACTAAAAATTGGTCAAATACCGCCGACGTGTAACCTTGAGTTTTGAACTGCTCCTCCAACAACGACACAAGGGCAAACCAGTTAAACGATACTTCTCTTAGCTTGTCTAACACCACAATAGAGTTTACGTCAATGACCGGCGCATCCTTTCTGCTCGCATCATGGCTAGGCTCCCTCCAACAGCTTCTATCAGTCGTTCCCTTTTGTTCATTTCTCTGATCACTTCTGTGAGCCTGTTCAAATTCCTCTCTTATCTCTTCACAATCATTCTCTATAGCATCTTTCACACGGGTTCGTACTTGCAAACCATGCTCGCCGTTTCCTCGATCTTGATCTTTGTTTTGAGGCTCGTTCAAATCATTGCTGTACACTTCTCCGTCACTTTCACTTTCAAGACTCTCCAAGGAAACTTCTGAGTGGTCGTTAATGTCAGAGTCATCCGAATCGGCAGAGTTATCCGTCAGGATATCGTCTGGATTAAAGCCGCGAGAAACCAAGTACGCCTTCTTTTCCTCTTTAGCTAAGATCTTCGTCCTCTCTTTTATCTCTTTCACCTTTTCTGAAGCAGCGTTAACCTTTTCTGATCTTTTTTTGCGACGACAAATTCCGTACAGTTTCCTTGCTGCTTTTTTAGACAGGTTGTGACTACTACAAAGTGTATGTTTAAGAATTTGTTTCTCAGATTCACTCTGTGCGGCGTAGTTTAGAAGGGAATCAAAATCTCCGCGAGAGGTGTAGGTAGACTGTTCCTTAGGAGACTGAATTAAAGCGATCTCCCTTTTCGCCGAATCGTACATGGAGCCTTGTATGTATTCCTTTTCAACTATGTAAACTCTGTTATCAACCGTTAACGCTGCCAGAGGCATTTTCAACAATCTCCGTTGGGCCTTTTCGGAATCATAGGGAATGCCATTAAAGCAACTGTTCCACAGGACGGGCAAAGGAACCGCCTTACTCTTCAGTACCAGGTTCCCAGCTTTTACCATTTGTTCACATGCCAGACAGTCCTTATGATTTAGACGGCATTTTGCCTCCTTGGCTAACACATATTCTGAAAGAGTTAATCCTTGAAACAAACTTTCTCGTATATCTTCTGAAATCTTTTGACTTTCTGCGTCAGAAAGTTTTCTCCTTTCTTGCGTTGTAAGAACGTGAACGAGGTTTTCTAAATCTAATTCCACCCCCAGATCAAATGCTTTCCGGGGGGCACAATCTATAAAAAATAATCATCAACACCTTTGACACTGAGACTGGCAGAATAACCCTGAGCTGCCTTTACTCCTGTAACGTCTAAGATTTTTTCACTTGCTCTTTGTCTTTCCTTTGGTTCATTCTTTCCTCCCGAAGCTTCCATCTCTTCTTCACTTGAGTTTTTACCATCCTTTTCTTCCTCTTCAACCATAATAGATGACGCCGCCTTATCTCCAGAGGCTTCTATCCTTTCTTCAGTTGACTTTCGATCATCCTTTACTTCCTCTTCAACCATCATAGATGACGCAGCCTTATCGTCAGAAGCTTCGATCGCATCTTCCCTCGACTTTTGATCATCCTTTACTTCCTCTTCAACCCTCATGAATGACGCCTTCTTTTCACCGGAGACTTTAGCGATTTCGTAACTATTAGTCTCCTCATTTGCAATCTCACCTCCAACCTCGATACATTCACTATCAATGTTCTTGTCGCTGGGATCTTTCAAGTTTAACCTTCTCTTCTTTGAAGCGGATTTTCCACTGTCGTCACCACTGTCATGATTCTTATCTCTAGTTCCCCTGACCTTAAGAAAGGACCTGATGTCTACTTTACTCGCAGTGGCTGTTGATGATGATGTTGCCGTTGTGGTGGCGGACGCGTTCGATGATGTTGCTTTTCGTGCCATGTAATTTAAATGCTTTGCTTGTCTTCTTTGAAGGTCTGTCAACTTATTTTGGGCTTTTTCTCTCTCAACCAAAAGGGCACGCAACTCTTTGTGCAACTTTCCACATCTTTCGTAGTCGTGTAAATCATTTGCCTGAGCAATCTCCTTTTGCTTATTAGCACTTTGTGAAGTAAGCGACTGGAGTTCCAAAGAGACCAAGCTAATATCTTTGGTTCTGTCGTCGGTAGACTGCCTTGGTTGTTTGTTTGACTTGTCTACCGACTCAACAAATTTAGACCTGGAGCCTGTTTTTTTTTTTATAAACAAAGGATTTCCGTGCTTCAGCTTCTGCTTTTGTTTTAAGTGATGCTCTGTCGTACATTTTGTTAGGTGACTTTGAAGCTATTTTAAAGGCCGCAGCGTTAACAGCCTCCTGCCACTCATTCAACTTTGCATTTGTTTAAATCTGCCATATATTTTAGACTGCTCCTTGACAATTTCATCGCTTAATGGTTTCTGGGAAGGTTTGCTTGATAAACCGGGAACAGGATAATCTTTAACATCATCAATGACAACAACATGTTCTGTGCTGTCATTCGTTACTGCAGTGTCCAAACTGTTGGATAGTTCCTTAAATTTCTGCTCAAATTTTAGCAACAAGCCCTGTTTTGTGATCATTGCCTTCAAAGACTCCCTGTCTAGTAGGCGGAACGCGTCCCCATCAATTTCATTTTCTACAAACAAAGAAAAGTGCTTTTAGAAATGTATGTACATGATAGCGAACAAATATGTTTTTAAAACAAATACAAAAGACTGTTTTTTTCATATTTGGCATGGTAAATGCTGCTGTCCGGGAGATTTTTAGCCTTGCCTGTCAGGATGCGAAGGAAATCTCGGAGATCCGGGAATATAACAATGAGTTGTTTGCGTTGACTAAGTAACTGGTAGCAAATGCTGTGGGATTTTCAAAGCAAATTTTTCAATAATAGTAGTTCTAGCTGAGAAATGAAGCATGTTTTGAGGCCCAATTCACGTTTTCTGAACGCTTTCAAAGTATTCGAAGCTCGCAAAAATCTAGAATGAGTTGGCAGCCGTAGCAAACCAATGATAAAAAAAAAAACATTCATCTAGCAAAAGAACACTAAATTTGTGGCCTTATGTGAAATACGCAAATGTTTTCTAACACGGACGTTTTTAATTATACATGTTATAATTCTTGATTTTATTCTAAATCTTTAATATTACCAAAAACCTGCATTTTATTAAAATATTATTGATATAAAATGAATCTAATGCGGCCGGTTGCGAAACGCGACAATATTCATGCACGCTCAAAGCTCCCCGATCTTGCTATATTAGAGTTCGAGATTTTAATAATTTTAAAAATGACGAAAATCTATCGTATGATTACCAAAAAATTTATTTAATAGAAAGAAAGTTAAAACCTTGAACTCCCGCTGAAAAAAAGGCGACCTTTCTATATTCCTTCGCACAGTTCTCCTATTTTATAACAACAGTTCGACACAGAATTAAAAAAAACTATTACACTTAAATCATAGCAAATGTTGTGGGATTTTCACAGCAAATTATTTTATAACAGTTGTTCTAGCAAAGAAATGAAGCGTGTTTTGAGGCCCAATTCACGTTTTCTGAAATTCGAAGGTCGCAAAATGAGTTGAATGAGTTGGCAGCAGTGACGGCAGCAGTCGCAAACCGATGAAAAAAAACCATTCAGGCACCAAAACACCTCTAAAATTGTGGCCTGATGTGAAATGCGTAAATATTTTCTAACACTGACGTTTTTAATTATACATGTTTAATATAGCCCTTGATTTCAAATTTGCAAGCCTTTAATATTTCCAAAAGCCGGCATTTTATTATTAAAATACCATATACTAATGAATCAAATGCGGCCTGTTGCGAAAAACGCCACAATTCATTCACGCTCTCGCTATTTGCTTTGAAATTATGGCTTTTTAGATTACAGTACATATTGAAATTAAGAAAACATACCTTTAAAAACGTCGACAAGTTTTTCTAGCCCTTGCTGGACAAGCCAATCCGCCACAAACTGCTGATCTTTACCTCGGAAATTCTCCATGTCGACCACGTTTTAAAGTTAACCACGTGCGTGTCAAAAGCCCGGGGGTGCCCCCGAGGTTGGCCAATGCCCGGTCCCCGGGTCGCGCTAAATTAGCTAAAGCCCCACCCCCGAGACTGACAATGCTGGCAAATGCCCCGCGGTTGCCCGGGGGGACTGGGCGCAGGTGGAATTGACTGATGCATTAAAATACCAATATTCGTTTCAAACTCTGCCGTTAACCCTTTTACCTATGCTTTCTTCAAAAAGGACATAAAAAAGGAGATTAAAAAACTAGTGTGTAGAACAACTTTTAAAAATGATAACAGGATAGAACCCATTGATAGAGGCAATTCATGTAGTAATGTATGAAATGTACTTTGCTGGACATTTTTTGAGCCGATGTGCATGATAAACTCAGTTGTTGAGTTAAGAAACTCGATTTGTATTACGCCTTTAAAATACGTGGCTTATTACTGGACGGAAACAATGCTCAGGGTCTTAAAATATAAAGCAGAAGGTATTGACGTTGCCCTACATTGACCTACAAACCGCTCACTGTACTGTCGCAATTTGTAATAAATTCATCGCACTTTGTTATACCTGTCGCAATTTGTAATAAACCGTGGCGCACTTTGTAATAAAAAAGCTGTCGCAATTTGTAATAACTGTCCATCGCACTTTGTAATAAACTAAGCTGTCACAATTTGTAATAATTCCCTCGCACTTTGTAATAATGTTTTGAGAGTGATTCAACTTACTTCGTCAACATTAATATAGCTTAATATACTGCCAAAATATGAATGGTACTTCATAAACAAAGCTGATGACGTCCCAATCTGCAAGCACGTAAATTAAAAAATTACTTTTATAATTTATATCTGCCTTCATTCAAACCATTTAACTTATTCACGGTCCTAACCATTTATTATTTTTTTAAATTAAGGTTGATTAGTTATCTGACGTACGAAATTCTGTATTCTTTAACCTTGCTATTGTATTAGATGGTTTTGCATGCAATGGTTAATTACCTGGGGGGCGTACTCCCTTGTATGGCCAATACAGGGATGTGCCGCTGGACAGAGCGTTGTCAGAGTACAGAATCTATACACACTAGATACAAACGAGCCATTATTAAAAGACATTTAATTTCCACAAAATCGTAACATCCATCCTTACATCATTTAAATAAAGACACCTGTAAAGCTTTCCTTTTTAGATCTTATAACAGGTCGACACAACATCAACCTTGTCTAACGCGCAATCTTAAAAGAAATATAGTGGCTTCTATATTTTGGCCAACTTAATAAGACGGGGCCTGTAAAAATTCAAGAGAAGAAATGAATGTCACTTTAGTACTGCAAATAAACAAAAATGTCACCAGAAGCAAACCGTCGAACCACAACAGAAACATGAACACAAAATCCAATTAGTCGCTGGCCGATATCTTTGTATGTACCTGTTTTTATAGAACTCACTTGGGATCATACCCGGAGCCGGCTGGCCATTTGGTCCATTATTCTCTCTTGATTTGGTCCCATTTAGGAGCAAAAGGAGTATCATTCCATGGTAAACAATTTTTTTCCATGGAGCCCTCTAAAGCAAATACCGTGGGGATAATAAAAAATTCTCCTTCCCTGCGTACAACTCGTAAGATCTTGAAATTCTCCCGAGCCTGTTCAGGATTATTTTTTCCACAAAATGGAAAGGATAATAAACCAAACCATGCATTACTACTTGAGTTACCCTGTCTAAGGATCAAACCAAAGACACAAAGCCAACAAGGTAAAAAATGATACACTATTTAAGGTTCGAGATCCTCAGCGGTACTTACCTACCTAGCCCATACATGTGTATAGTATTATCTCCCCCCCCAACCCCGAAGACTTCAAGTGTCGCGTGGCAAGCAAACTGGATTAGGACGACGAATGCCAGGTTATTCATGAATTTTCTGTTGTTAAATGTTGCTTTTGTTATTTAAATATTTTTGAATTCAAATATATGAAATGACTCATTTCCTTTTTTTTTTGGTGACATGTCAGGAAGTTTCATGTCTTTCATAAAAGCGATTCTCGTTAGTCACGTGATTAATTAAGGCAGAAAAATTTATGTCGGAAGACATGGATGTTTGACCAAAGAAAATAATTTAAGTTTATTACAAAGTGAGATGGAATTATTATAAATTGCGACAGCTTAGTTTATTACAAAGTGCGATGGACAGTTATTACAAATTGCGACAGCTTTTTTATTACAAAGTGCGACACGGTTTATTGCAAGTTGCAATAGGTATTATAAAGTGCCGGATGGAACTATTACAAATTGCGACAGGTGTTACAAAGTGCGATGATTATTACAAATTGCGACAGTACACTCACACCTTCGCATACATGGCCAGGTAGAACATGGCGGTCCTTTCTCTGCGCAGAAACGTAGAAACAGCGTTCCTCAGTACACCCTTCCAAGGGTTTTTTTTTCACAACTTTTGGCATGTAACTGATGAGTTAGAGAAAATCCGTCAGCACCACTGGAAAGAGGGCTTAAATATTAGTAAACTTGCGTATTTGGAAAGTGATACGTCAAAAGCTTGCAAAGATAATTAGCTCAGTAAAGTTGCAAAAATTTACAGTTGAAGTTTGTATGCTGTGGGAACAAGATTGTGTTCCCCCCCCCTTCAACATACAAAAGTCATTACAATTTCGCGACTTTGAGAAACTATATCTTCGTTAGTTTTCAACAAGTCACATTCAAATTTGGAAATTGTATTAATTTAAAGGTGCTCATTTCAGAGGAGTCGACGGATTTTTCGTAATTTGTCACATGACAAAAGTTGAGAAAACTGTGGCAAGGTCTGTTGGTACTGACAGTTATAGTCACTAAAACATTGAAACTCAACTCAAGTGCGATTTTTGTTTTTTTCTCTTTTTTTTTCCTTCGACGTTTGTGACTAGTCATCGCGTGCATCAAATAACTTTCTGAGTGTTCCGCGTCGATCCTTGTAAGTAATTTTCCTTTCGTCATTTTTGTATAGTATCAACTTTTTATCCTTTCATAATCGGTCCAATCAAGAGCTATCATGGTGGCTCTTGGTCCGATTGCAATATTTTTCCAGAATATAGTTTGTGTCCTGTTGCACTAAAATACTGATTCTGTCTCACCTTCTTGGTAATTAGTGCATATAAACAAACTCGATCAACAGTAACCTAGGCCAATCGGCCAACAGTTCAGTGCATTTCAATTTCGGCAACCACCGAAGTTTGTCACCCGATCCATACTCAAGACATTGAAACAAGCAGCTTCAGTGAGGCGATCAAGCGTTAATATTGTGTCTTGTTGGGCAATGCATTTGCGCTGCTGTTTTATCTGTCTTTTCCACCTAACACCGAAATTGAATGATTCTGATTCATGATAATGAAATATATAGATTTAGCTAAGGCCAAAAATGAAGCTCACATAGGATCTTGTAAGAACTGCCTTTTTCAAGTAGTTCACTTTTTGCCGTATTCAAGAAGCAAGCTGAATTCCTCCTGAAAAAAAATGGTTGAACTGGCGACCATTTAATTTCAATAACTGGTAAGCGGATAACTTAAAAAAAAAAGTCACCTTGCCCCGACACAATCATGTGACACCGGTCAGCGGATACCTTTTTTAACAGCCTTCAATTAACCATAACATGGACGTCCACTATCAACAGAATGTATATGCCTTAGACACCTGGCTAGTAAGTGTGACAGTTAAAACCCGCTAACATGAGGGGACGTACGGACGATTTTGTCACTACCAAAATTTCTTGAATGCATAGATAACCAAATAACCATGATGCTCCGCTGCGGGTGCTTCGTGGGCGCGAGAGGTCTTCCATTAAATTTCTCCCTTTAATTTCCTTGGGCTTAATGCTTTCTTGAAGAGCGACATGAAAGTGCCTATAAACTTTTATCTGACCCCAGTTGTTTAAAAGATGTGGATAACGATATCCAGTGGATAAATCTCTATCCAGGGGATAGCTCAATTGGTTTTCCTATTACTTATCCGCTGGGTAGTGATTTATGCGATGGATAGCGCTATCCAACGTTTGAAAACTACATGGGCCCTGGTAGATAGCGCTATGGCCATCTTTTGAACAACCGCGACATGTTTAGAAGTAGCACGAATTTCATTTTCCATGATTACGAAGTCCATTAATGAACGAACTTTTCGTTTTTTTGTTTGTTTGTTTGTTTGTTTGTTTTTTTGCTTTTTTCTTTCGATCTTCAAGTCTCCCGGCATTAGTCATCAGAATTAA